CCACACATCTGCATTTGTTGGCCTGTGTCGCTGCTTCCCCCGATGTTGTTGTTGACGACATAGAACTTTATTAATCCTGAAGGAAATACTTGTTCCAGATGTTGCTCAGAAGAACAATTACATAACATGAGAATAAATGCAGCACCTAACAGAAAAGACAACTTTAATGCTTCCTGCCCGGCAGAGAGGAGGAGACGTGCATGGTGACGGAGCGTGTCGAGGGGCGGATGTTTCAACGCGTGAATACCAGGAAAGCTGCAGTAGCTCAGGCCGTGTCCTGAAAACCTGTACCAACCAGCTTGCACCGGTGTTCACGGATATACATACATACATATATTTATGTATGTTTTATTCCTTATTCTTATTTATTTTATTTATTATTGTTTCGGTGTGGAACAGGTGCACAACACATTTCACTGTGCGTTGTACTATGTATAACTGTGTCTGTGACCAATGAAAGACCTTGACTCTTGAATTATACATTCCTAATAACTTTATTTATACAGCACCTTTCAAAAGCAGAGTTAACAATGTGCTCTACAGACAGAGAAAAAAAAAGAAGGATACTGAATATGAAAGAAAATACAGGGTTAAACCAAAACCACAAGGCTAAAAATAATATTAGTGATCACCTAGAAAATAAATAAAGGGTAGAAGATTATAAAATAGACAAAATAAAAAAGCTAAAAAGAAATTAGATGATTAAAAATAGATGATAAAATATAAAGCAAAATAGGACTAGAATGCAAAACTAACACTGGCGATGATTCTGAGGCAGTAAAGTAATATTATACATGAAATATTGCATGTGATAAGAAAACTTAAATACAGCATTATGAAACTAGAGAGAGACTGAGAAAGTAATATTGCAATCGACAATCATTTCTTAATGATCTTAATGTCAGTTTATTATCGTTATTGTTCAGATTTAAACATCTGGATTTGCCCAAAATGTCACTGCATTTGAAATAAATGTGCAAAAAAAAGTTTTCCAAATCAATATTTTGACATTAACTTTTATTTAAGTAACTCTAATCCTGCTGTGTCGTGTGAAATATTGCTCACAATGTAGAAATCAAATCTTTATGGTGCTTTTTTATTCATTCTAAAACTCACACACTTTCTTCAGATCATATCGACTGAAATATCAAATCAGTTTAAGACGTAGTTCAAGTTCAAAAATCTTTAATATCCCCGTGGGGAAATGTTTGTGCAGCCAGCAATGAGACAGTCACAATCACACATGCAACAACAACAACAACAAAACAACAGAGAAAAGACGAGACCGATCACCTGTTTAACAGGGAAATAGCAGCAGGGACAAAAGAAAATGTATATCTATTGGTCCTGCACTTTGGCAGAACATACCTGCGCCCCCGCGGAAGTAATTGGAACCAGTGGGCCAAGGGGTGGCTCTGGTCTGCGGTGATTGAACGGGCCTTGGCTAATAACCTGGTTTGATGTAGGACTGTCTAGTTATTTAGGTTAGTCCACACAGCCTCACCATACCTTGTAGTCTGTTTTTGTTCTGGAGTCAAACCTGAGCAGCGGAGTGACGTTAGGAGGTCAACATAACATCCATATGAAGTTTACTGTGAGAACATTGTACCTTAACACCATGATGATGATGTGAAATGAATCAAAAATGGTAAAAATAAAAAAAAAACAATCAAATGCATGAACATTTCATCAGCTGATGAAAGATATTCATTCTCCAGCCGCCATCAGCAGCTTGTATTGACGGAGCTGCACCACCTCGGCCCTCACGGCTGCATGTTGTAATTTAAAATGGCCTTTTAATTTGTTTTCTCTGCGGGAAACAAGCATTACAGCGTACCTGTAGTGGCAGATTTATTTATTTCTTCTTTTATTTACCCAGCCCTCAGGCTACTTTACATGTTTTAAATTGGCTGAAGCTCATATGCATGATGTACCTACATGAAGAGCTTCAGTGTAAGTACTGATGCACACAGATTAATAGAAATTCAATTTGTGTACAGCTCTGTTGGTAAAATGTGCATGAAAGCACTGTGGAAGGAGAACATATGAATAAAAAGCTGACTGCAACACAATTGCAACAAGCGGTTTAATGGGAAACAAATAGCAAAAAAAGCAGTTTAATGGAAAATAAACATCAAAAACAGCAGTGTAATAGAAGCCTTACATAAAGAAATGTAGTTTAATGGAAAATAAATATATTTAAAAAAGCAGCAGTTTAATGAAAAATAATATTAAAACAAAAAACGCAGTTTAATGGAAAAAAAATTAGCAAACACCTGCAACAACTTTTGCTTATTAATACTTTTTTTCTGATCGCTCTCACAGGAGGAATTATAAATGCATGTACAAATAAAATAAACTCATGCAACAACTTATAAATATTACCAGACATCCTACTGGGTATACTGTGGTGTAATAGATGTCAGGGAATGGTGATTTCTGGCCCTGTGTTTTTGTTCTCCTCCAGGCGTCCACCAGAGGGCGTCCTGGAAGAATTCTCATTGACTGATTCCCTGCAGGTGTGTGAGCTACACACCTGCAATTCATTTGGGTCATCACCACCGGTATAAGAGGAGCTTTCACCATTCACTCTTTGCCTGAGTGTTGCCCTACATGGCGACTTCTAGCCACCACCCGAGTGTTCCCCCGAGCCTCCCTCCGAGTTTCAGCAAGACCGCCTTTCCTTCGTTGAGGATTCTCCAGTGTTCCCGCTTCCCGTCTGTGTTTCCACCTGCACCAAACCCGAGACTTCTCCGTGGCTTCCTGGACAATCTACTCCCTACCAGTAACACCCCCGCCTCGTTTTCTTTCTCATCTTTATTATATCAATTTCTACAATAAACCTTATTTTTTGATTCCATCTCTCCTGAGTGTCATTTCTGCATTTGGGTCAACCAGCCTAGTTATCCTGTGACAATAATCTGGTAAATTAAAAAAACATTATCAAATATAGGTATGCAAACTATGAAAGTTAATTTTCCAGTCTCGTGTTCAGCACACGAGTCAATTTTAAATCTGCAAGAATGATTCAATTAAACACATTCTTAACCCCGTCAGTTGGTAACTGGTTGATTGTTCTGTGACCCGACAGTGAAATAACAAGAATCCCTAAGTACAGAGAGGTGAAATAAAGACGCAGCAACACAACCATAAAAAATAAAGATGCTAGTAACATCTGCATTATTAGTTTGATTAGGTTATTGTCTTTTATTCTGCTGGTATTCTCAATCGTGCACCTGATCTTTCCGTTGTCTTGTGAAATCAAATATCTCAAAAATGACTTCCATGTAGTATCATACCACACAGCAGATATCTCCAAGTAATGAAAAGTGGCTGATAACAGACTCTTATTTTGAAAAATGCAAGCTTTCTGCTACATTTTACACACTAGCAGCAGCAAATTATTTTCCCAGTTAGTTTCTCTGACTGGTGCTGGAACCTTATTACCAAGAGAAAAAATGTTGCTGCTGGGTAATTTTTGATCTTATTTTCAAACCCTGAAGGCATTATGGGTAAAAATCTGTCATAATTACTGTGCAGGAGCCTTCACCACCTGCTAATTTTAAAATTCATTTCACAGTGGGATTGTTTTGGAGTAAAGCAGGAAAAGATCAGGTTCCACCTCAGCTGGGAGTCACAGCAGGTGATTGCAGCTCAGGAATGGACATAAAGGAAAGAAGAAAAAAAAGAAAGGCTTGATTGTGAGGCAGGAACTCACGCTGTGATTGGACAACGTATAAAAAATTGACGGGGAGAGCTCAACGGGAGAAATGTGACCTCACTGCTGAATAGACAAACATGAACACAAACTAAATCGCTGGCACAACGCCTTTTATTTTGCTTTTTTTTTTCTATTTTTCTGTGTGTTGGGTCAAAATGTTTTTTAAGGTAAATGCAAGACAGAAAAAAAACATCTCGTGAAGAAGTTCAAGGGCGAAACATGTTGAGAAAAACATGCAGTCTCCAAAGCAAAGTTCACCTGAGGATCATTTCACTTTTTCCATTCATTGAGAAATCCTCACTACTTCCTCCCACACAGAGGAAGCGCTTCAGTAATTAAATGTCATTAGTCCTGCTGTTGTGACTGGTTTCAGGATATTACATTTGCGCTCTCGTTTCTCGAGAAATGTGCAAACAGTGCTGCACTGTACATCCGTACAGGACTGTGGAGAGATCTGCCAAAAACAGCAAACAGCGAAACCCTTTATAAGAATATTCTGGTAACCAGGGAGATTAGGAGGAAGATGGAAAATAGACGTGCAAACGTGGCAACAGGCAGAAGTTCTACATCAACTAAAGTTATGTTAAATACCTGAAATTCTGCTGTACCGTACAGTAGATGGAAGATAGGAATGTGTTGTATGAAGACACATGTTGTTAATATGTACCTTCTGGATTTGTGTTGAGTTGATGAATCCTGGCAAATGGGAGCAGTAGGGAACACAAAAATGCAAAAGAAGAAAAGAAAAGTGAATTGATAACTGTGGTTCTTTGAAATTATGGCATGTCGTCATGATAGCCTGTCTTCAAGAAGAAAAAAAAAGAAATATGATGTACACAAAAAAATACCACTTTGACTTCTGTGCTCATTGTTTGTATGTAGTAACACCACTGCTGCAAACAATATAGCATTTAAGGAGCAAAAACTGAAACTGAAAAACTCTCTGTATTAATCTACTTCATACAACTACAAACAGATTTGTTTCTAAGCTGGTCATGCTGTGATACTGAAGGAGATGGAGCTGTGTTTGAAGAGACCTGACTATATATGGGAGCTTTTATCTTTATACTGAAAATCAGTTGTTACTTAGACCATTATATTTTTCACTACTTTCTAAAGAAATGATAAACATGTGCTTTCAAGTTCAATTCAATTCAGTTTTATTTGTATAGCGCATATTTACAACAACAAGTCATCTCATAGCGCTTCACAAAGGCAGAGACAGAAACACCCGACAATCCAAAACATCTGGATTCCCTATAAGCTTCAGCAGTCCAGGTTCTGTCACAGTTGCCTCCTGACTCCTCTCTCCTCCTGCTCTGGGACTCATCTGCTCATCCACACTCTGTATAGGAAGAGTTCATTTGCAAAAACAGATAGCTCCATTTCACAAACCTTCAGAAAACCCACTGTTCCATTGTCAACCTGAGACAATATCATCCATCCATCCATCCATCATCTATACACCGATTAATCCTCACTTGGCTCATGGGGGGCTGGAGTCTATCCCAGCTGACTCAAGGCAAAGGCAGAGGACACCCTGGACAGGTCACCAGTCTAAGGGCACAATATGTTGGTGATTAAATACAAAAGCCTGTTTTATGTCTAGAAAAAAAAAACTATTCTTTGTCAGTACGTCCACGCAACAAGTACTACTTGACATATTTTAAAGAGCAGAACCCTAATGTTCGTTCACACCACTCTCAGCATCTCCCAAACCGCCAGCTTCCACGCATTATTCTGAGCTTTACAGCATCCGAAGTTATCCGAGCGTGTCCTGAGGCGCATCCAGTCAGTCAGCCTGAAGGAGGGGAAATCCCACAGCGGCTGAGGTTAGAGGAACAACAACAGTTTTACTGCAGGAAGGGGTCGCGTATTGAAATAGCAACTCGGAGCAAAAACGCTGCGAAGAATCACATCTGAGAGCACGATAAACCTCAAACGGAATAGTTAAAGCAGCGAAAAAACTGCTTCATTCGGTGTCTTCTTAGAATATAAAATATTTAAGCGCCGAGCGATCAGCGGAGAAATCAGCTGCACGCTTGGACGACGTACGTAATCAGAGGCCGAGAGCTGAGTCAGGATTTAGGAGAAGCCTGATAAAGCTGGAAGCATCACAAATCTACTTATGAATTCTGCACACTTGCGGGTGTTTTATTTGAGTAGACAACATGTAGTTTGTATGACTTGAACTGATCTCTTGTTCCAACCAGAACAGAAGCTGTTGTGTTAAAGCTGCTGAGAAAAACAGATGAATAGCTGGATTACAGGGAACACACTGAAGCCTAAAGGTATTCACACAGATGTCAAATTTAGATTTATAGCACAGTTTTTCTTGGACTAAGGCTTGGGTTGTTGGCTGGAAATGAAACAGACAAGATAGTAAGACATTATGTTAGAGAATTTGAACAATTTTTATGTTGGTTTTTTATTTGCGTTTTCACTAAAATGCCCCATCTGGTGATTTCTACCATGTTCTACAGGGTTCTAATACACTATAAACTGAGAACACCTGCTGCAGAAGTTAATAGTCAACTGTAAGTCACGGCAAAAGCTTAAGAGGTCAGTGAGCTTTCTATTAACATCCATCACCGCAAGGCTACTATGAAAGGCTATTATGAAAGGCCATAAAGATGTATTCAAGTGTTTTCTAGTGGCCAGAGTGCAAAACAAATTACAAGGAGTTCCACAATGTGAAGAATCTCATAGGGTAAAACAGGAAGTCAAAAGTGACCCCGGCAGCGGCAAGAAAAGAAGAGGTCAAGAAGAATCCAAGGATCATCACCGCCAAGAGCCCTCTGATGAATCTGAACTATTCTGGTAGCAACATCTGAGAATGAGATAATAAACAAGGCCGGTCTCCGCGGACAGCAACCCAAGAGGACGCCACTTGTCCAGAACAGATTTTGGTCATTAGTTCTGTGGTTAGATGAGGCAAAAATAGAAGTGTTTGAACGCAAAGCATGCAAAGCATTCAACCCCAAGAGCGCCGTCCTCTCGGTCAAACGTGGTGGGAATACTTTAGGGGTGTTTTTTTAGCGAGTGAACCAGGCAAGTTTAAAAAGTAAACAGCATTATTAGACAAGAGAACGATGTTAAGATCATAGAAGAAAACGTAAGGAAGTTTAAAAACTTCCTTCTGCGGCATTGCCAAGAAGACAACAATCTGAAACGTACAAGGTGGTGATGAAATGGTGAACAGAAGTCAGAGTCCAGACCTGAATCCTGGAGATCGCCACAAATGAGAAATGGAACAAAATCCCATTAAAGACATGCAGAAAGACTGTGACTCTAAGAGCTGCTTGAATAAAGTCTTTGTCATCCCAGCACCATGTCTTTCTGTCTTTCGTCACTCGTTTGTCATCTCCAGTCAGCAGAAACCTATTGGTCAATCAATAACTCCCTGTAAATCAAACTTTGGCAGGTGAATACTTGAATACTTCTGGGATGCAGTTAAATCTGGTCACTCTGTTGGAGATCAGATGAGATGTAAATGCAAGTCCGTGATCGATTGGAGAGCATGTTCGGGTACCATTCCTGCAGAGAGAAGCTGCAACACCTGTTTTCACTTGAGCATCACCTTGTGACGATTGAAGCATCCATCCTTGACTTTTTTTTATGCAGATGCTTTTTTTCTCTCTCTCTCTCTGTCTTCACAAACCTCTCTACAAGGAATAACTGAAGCCATTTGTGTTACATCCTCCTCCAGCTATCCTATCCATCGTGGGGAATGCAGCGGTTCTGGTCAGCGCCGCCTCGTCCTGCTCAAAGCTCCACAGCTCCTGACGGTGAACTTAGCCGACATCAGCATGGCCCTCGGCACATACCCGCTGTGCATCGCCTCAGCTCACAATCACGTCTGGATCGGATGTGGCGCCTCCTGCCTCAACTACGGCCTCATGGGAATGATCTTCAGGGTTACGAGCATCATGACTCTGACCGTGATGGGGATGGTCAGGCCCCTGGTAACAGACAGGTAATCTCAGAGGGAATCTGAGTGAAATCAGAGCAGCAGCTCTTAATAAATAAGGCGCAAGAAAGTCAGCAAGCAGTCATTATTCTCAAAGTTCACAGGTATTTACCTTCTAAGTGAAGCTTTACATCCAATAACGAGGAAAGCTTGATCATTTTTGGAGTCGAATCCCAAATGATTACCCATGAACCTTTCAGATTATCCTCCATCATAAACCTGACCGGTGTGCTGATAAAGACTGTCGATGAAACACAAATTAAACGAGCCGAGGGGAGTTACGCAACCAGCACCGCACCTGATTGATCAGATTGAGCGTCTGTTATGTATTGATCGGCAATAGCTAAATTGACTGAGCGAGCCTCTGGGATGCTTTCATCTCTCGGTTGATGAGGACTTCATTCTCATCAAGCCCCAAGCAAGCAGAACACACGGCATAATCTGCTGAATAATAGATGCAGCTGGTGCTTTTACTGATACAACACTGATATAAATTTGTTTTTAATATAAAGGCAATGTGGGGAAATACACAGGGCATAGTTGTGGTGGGAACATGTCAGAACTGCAGCTCTTTTGTCTGTAATGGGGGCATTTTGTATGGACAGCACTGGTTCAGTGATGTGAAATCTTTATTTGGTACAATTGATTCATGCTCAGTGAGAATTGTTCCTGCTTTTGTTCAACCAAAATTACAAACACATGATGTGATTATAAACAGTGTAGGATCTCAAGAGAAGCAGGGTTAAGACCTCAAACCTCTGTGCACAGTTCAACTCTGTTTTATTACCATTAGTTGCCAAAAACAGAAGTTTAGGAAACTTATTGTTTTGTGTGTGTTTTCTGTGTGGTTTTAGACTACAGAGTAGCTCATTAAATGACAATGTAGGGGCGATATTATAGAGTAAAATGTTCATTGTGTCTAGATTATTGTACTGAGACTTCCCAACGAAAATGATGGAGGTTTTGGAGGTCAGAATTGGAGCACTGAAGTTTTACTCACCGCAGCTTGAATTAGCATCAGCTGACTGACAGTAGCTGTTTAATTCATGCTTCACGATCATTAGCTCAGTCGTCAGGTTCTCCCTTGACTTCCAGTCACACTAATGCAGATTTGCAGTAGAGTCACGGTAGTTCAGCCCAGCATCCCAATAGAAACCCTGTCATTGTTGGATTATTTCTTTGTTAATGCTTTTAGCTGGAATTTTATTTCTGCAGCAGACAAAGGAGTCGCTCAGATGCATTTGAGTGTCTGTTTCCCTTAAATCTTCTGTATGTGTGGTATGTTTGTTTTGGTGTTAGTTTTAAACCTACTTTGCATTTAAAGTGGAGTCATTTATTTGTATTTTTGGATAAACACAGTTCTGGTGTTACATCCCATGTCGAGGGTAGAACTAAGTAATACAGTCTCTATTCATAATAATAGTGACATATACCTAACATGCTAACCTGAATTCAGAATCCGTTTGTGCACAGGTATCAAGTTCCAGAAGTGAACCATCAGTATTGTGATCAGTGGGATCAGGCTACATGCTGAGCTCTGGGCCTTGTATCCTCTGCTTGGCTGGGGCAGCTGTGGGCCGGAGCCGTTCAGACTCTGCTGTTCCATGGACTGGACCAGTTACGGAGAGTCCCTGAACCACTCCACCTTCATCTTGACTCTGTTTGTACTCTGCACGTTCCTCCCCTGTCTGGTCATTGTCTTCAACTTCGGTATCGCCTGGAAGCTGCACAGGGCCTACCAGTCCATCCAGAATAATGACTGTCAATACGGCAACATCGAAAAGAAAATCACTCTCGTAAGTATAAAATAGCCAAATCTGCATTGGCTGTTCTTTCAGTTTTCTTGTTCCCTGACTTCCACCTTAAAAACAGAGCCTCCATCCATCCATCATCTATACACCACTTAATCCTCACTAGGGTCATGGGGGGCTGGAGTCTATCCCAGCTGACTCAGGGTGAAGGCAGGTTCACCTGGACAGGTC